GGCATATGAAGCATTCATGAAGCTAAAGCAGGTTAGGCGTAGATCTTGGGGGGGGGGGCTACCATATATATATATATATGTGTGTGTATGTACACACACATGGCCAGCCCCCGTATGTTCTACACTTGGCCCTTCACAGCTTAATGGATGCTTGCAACGATATAGTTTTAAGATATCACGCACGCACAAAGTACGGTAAACTACGGCGAAATCTGCTGCCTTCCAACCTATCAATACTCTTACTAATTCACATCTTCTGGTGTTTGTATCCAGATTTTGAAAAACACTTAATTGCTGTATGTGATTCATGTCAACGTAGCATTCCGCACTTGTTCAATCTGGAAAGCAAAAGTGCTTCACTGTCCCTCACAACCCTAACAAAAACCTATATAATCCTGATGATCCAAAAGTGCTGCGCTCTCCCTAAAAATAGAAAAATGTGCCTTGAGAGACTATCCAGGGGGTATAGAGCAGGGATAGTCTCTGGATGCCAGGTTTTTACATAATCTCTTGATTAGGTTGTTTGGGTGTTAGGGGACAGTACACTACTTGTTTCATCTGTAAGGCATGCTGAACTTGGCCCCAACAAGCTAAACAACCATGCCTCCAGAGGTGGAAAGTCTCTGGAAGCATGGTTTTTAAATTCCTCGGTTACTTTTTCTAGCGACAATACATAAATTTCAACATGTTCAGGCATCTGACCTGGAGAAATGTATTCCTCCTAGGAGTGGCTTTGAGAAACCAACTTCCGATGATACACATTAGATGTTTACTGGAACCAGGAATCTTCCAGGAAGCGAAGGATTCCTGGTCAAGTCACTATTTTGGATACAGATTGCCAAGAAGGCAGTATTCAGGAGTGAATTCATGAGAGATAGCTTTTTCAAGCTTTCCAGGTCTGGAACCTGGGTTTTTCAGATGGAAAAAGAAATGTTGAACGTACCAGGTCTGGAGCTAGGCTTTCCAAGAAAAAAATCGGATCAAACTTTCCAGGCACCGAGAACCAAATTTTTAGTTCAAATCCTCCTCTCTGAAAACCAGGGTCAGATCTGGAGAGGTTGAACATGCACCTCTCCGGATCTGGATACTCTGGATCTGGAAAGCCTAGATTCCAGACTTGGAAAATCGAAAATCCACGGTTCCAGATCTGGAATTCTTGAGAACCCACTTCTCCGATGGTCCTTTTGGCTAATCCAACTGCAAACTGTCACGCACCATAACGCGGGCCCCTATGATGTCAAGGCTTGTTCGGATTTGGCATTGCCTATGCACCACTCCTGTGACACGCCACGATGTGGCTCTTTACAAGGCGATCTGACTTAACATCTCAGCCTAGTAAAGTGCTGACGGGACGGCATTACATCGCAATACCCATGTTCACCCAGGGGAAACAACCGTGACTTGGATTACACACATCTGCGGGGATGTATGGTGTCAAGCACAATCACAGAGACGGCATTGAAGTGGTACAACATCGCGGCTGATACATATGTTGGCGAAGCAATAGACACATGTTGATTCACGGACAGCCTCCTGCAGGAGTCGTCGCATTCGCTTGTCCAAAACGGGCATGCCTTGACATGTGCCGGAGTTGATCCAGATGAGGGAGAAACAGGCGGATAAGTCATTTGTCCAAGGCACGCATGCAAGCAACCTTAGCTAATATCTCGTGTACCTGCACGGCATGGACTTCTCAGGGCTTGCATCTCCATTGATGTGCAAATCCACTCTGCATGTTCTGTTCCACTCCGAGCCTGGTTGATTTGCATCTTGGGCGTGCCACGTTGGATCAGCCTGGGATGCAAGCATAGTTTTCTTTGGTAGAGCAAGTTGCCACTGTTATCATTGTGTCACTTGGAAAACTGAGCTTAAACACCTCGTCAAAGACACCTCCACAGCTAAATTCACGAACACTGCCAGCAAGAGCGTTGCATCTCACATACAAACCCTCTTTTGTGTCTTGCCCATTGCCCCGCAGACTGAGCGACTGTCCATAGGTGCTCTAGCGGAGTTTTCGTTTTAAACACGCTCGAGCAGAAAACTTGCACATCAAGCAGCACACGTACAAAGCAGTAAGCTCTTGTTGTATTACGGACTTTGACCTAAGCCAGAGCATGGTCTTGCCGAATTGTATTCTTATGATGTTTGCTTGCAGGCTCAACAACGGATGTTATCGCGAAATGTCGCCGATGCACTTGGATACTGTCAGCCTCCTTTCTCGGTTCAGTACACTGCTAGCTACATGCCGAGGATGATGCGAGAAGATCATGTGTGCCATCAAGGCACCAACCCCTTTTTCAGGCCGTAATCTCTCTAACTACCGAACTGTACCAAAACGATACCGAAACGCCTATGAATTCGCACGTTACTCAGCCAGTCTGTAGATGCAGAATGTTGCACGTAGACTTACAAGTACGTGTGTCCAACCGCAGCTGCTTTGTAAATGTCTCCACTATGGTCCGAATCAGGATGAATCAGGCATTTTCAATGGCTTAGAGGCGGAACCTAACGTATGCGGAATGCTACCAGTCACACGCAACGGACCTGGACAAATCGATCGAAGAGAGCTTGAATGCTGTCCTCCGGCAGGAACAGAACGCTCCAAATTTAAACCCTCTTCCCTTCAGAAAGAATGACTCAGGCACAGTTCCTCCCGCGCAAAGCGGCGAAATATTGCCAAAAGAGGTAGACCTGGTGTTCTTTCCGAGGTCAAGAAATCTGGTGGTCCATTTGAGGAGTCACAGCAGTTTCTGACCCATCAGGGCTCCTGGCTGGCAGCACGGCCCACATCCGCGTTCTCCACAGCACAACCTGGCATGAGTCTCAACAGCAAGCACGAGACCTCCAAGCTTGTTAGAATCACAAGACAACCAGGCCAAGAGTTCGCGCAAGCACCTGTGCCAGCCTGACATCGGATCACTCCAGCATATCATGATGAATACACAAAGTTCCCGAGAAGGTTGCATTTCTGCGTGGCGGTCTGTACAGCGAGGGTGCTTTGCGATGACCTTTGACAGCTCATGGATCTTCACAAGAACAGGGAGCGTCTCTGAGGAGTTCGGCCAGAAACAGCTCGATGTCTATCACTGCAAGAGGCTCTGCACTCACCTGGCGTGCGGCTGGCATAGCTCTGTGTGTGTGACATAGGACAGAAGGCCAGCTTGTCGCCTGAAACTTCTTGACACTGAGCTCGGCCAAAATTGCCACAGGGACCTTCGTCTGCTGGCAGTCTGCTGGCATATGCAAAGGCAATGTTACATTTCTGTTCTCTCCCCCGCAAAAAGAACTTCGCACGTGCACAGCTCGACTCTTGCTGGGTGTCTTCGAAGCTGAATACATCTGAAAATGAGGCCGAGTCTCCAGCGCCTTCGTACTTTTCCAGAAGCCCGAGTAAGCAACGAGTGCCAAACTCTCGCGTCGAGTGACTTTCACACTCAACCTCGACCATGAAGCAAGTGAAGCTGGCAGCACCATGCTGATATGTGGCACCCTCAGGCATGAACCAAGGCATAAATGTAAGTGCGGTACCTGAGGTGTGTTGCAGGGTCGCTTGACTTGGCTTTCACAGATTCAAGCGCACACAGCTGGTGTCCCTTCGACATCCTGGTTGTCGCAGAGCTGTGACCTTGGCTCACTCCAAACATCTCATGCCACTGACATGCAATGATGACGGCTGTAAGGCTCAAGCAACAATTTTGCAAGACACGAAAATGCAACCTGCCACAACATGGCCAAGGGCATCCACAAACAGTGATGAAAAAAAGCTGCTCAGCCCCAGCCTGGCAATATGCCCGCAATCATATCTTGCAGCATAAGAAGATTGTGCAGGGAGTTGCATCCAAGACTGCTATCCTTTAGCTGCCTCTACCCCCCTAACACGAGTCTGTCGCCAGCAGCGTGCTGCACGCTGCTGCAGCATCTCGAACCGAATCGCTTATCCAGACACTAACGACAGGCAGTGTGACCATTTGTGGGCAGCGGCCTTGCCTGCGCATGATGGGCAAGTCTGCACAACATGCACATGCATCTGTGGGGAAAAGGCTCGCTGAGCTCGTGGCCTGCTTTGTGTTGCCTTCTTGAGTGCCGCCAGCAAGTCTCCCAGTCCTGCGCAACTTCACGCTGGCCACTTCCAACCCATCTCAAAACCCTGTTCATCTGGTGGCGGCCCAAAGCCAGCTGAAGTCAGCCCGCCTTCTTGCGGAGAGGTCTTGCTCACACCTGAAAGAAGTCCAAAGCAAAACACTTCAGGGTACGACCCCCGACAGCCTCCAAGCCAAAGGTCTGTTGCCAGCAGCGCTGCAGCTTGCAAGGTTCCTGCAGTGCTCCTTCGAAACAGTGAATGCGACCACTCAAAACGCCATCTTCCGTGTCAGCAGTCCTTTCGTCGCTGAGCCTTTGGAGACTTCGCGTCAGAAAATGAGAGGGTACCCCCTGTTCATGGCAAGCCTGGCAGGGTAAAGAATTCGTTTGGAAGACTCAAGTCTCAAAACTAAAGACCCAAGATGTTCAACTTGTCCGAACTGCATCTAGGCTTCTTCCATTTCAAGAAACTCTTCCGGAAACGTCTTGGGCATGGTAAGGCGTGGAGAGTGTAAGATTCACCTGATGCCACTACAACGCCCAGCCGGAACGCAAGCAAAAGCATCCTAGATCCAAGCAGGTCAGCCAGTGTGTAGGAATCGGTCTCGGTTGTCACAGTGACTGTTTTTCAAGAAACGGAAAAGTTCTCTAAAACCGCAACCACGCACAAAGCCGAAGTGGAGTCAAGAAGCTTGGGCCACACGCGTTGGACTTCATCGAAGTTAATCTTGACAAGGATCAAAAACACAACACAAGCGCCATCATGGGTAACAGTAGCAAGCATCGTCAGTCAAAAGGCGGTGTGCCTGCTTCCAGCTGTCTTCTTTACAAAGCAATAAAGAAATAAAGGTAGTCTGCGCAGAGCTGCTCAAAAGCTGGCAAGCCTGAATCCGATTGTCTCCTTACAAGGCACTAGGCAAGATGGGACTTTAGGAGCTGATCTATCTGATCTGTGCTTCCTTCGTGAAAAACGCCTTCCGAAGAGGGCCACGAAAGCTAGAGGCAGCAGTGGAAGGCAAAGAAGGAGCCATGCAGTTGCAGTTGCTGAGCAACGGCTCTCGAATGACATACAACTGCAAGCCTTGCTTACGGGCCTGAATGGGGGGGGGAGATCAGGGGAGGGGCACCCCTTCCCCTTTCAATTCCTTGGAAACCTTTTGTTGAGGGGATGCCTTCTATTGATTGAATCAATCTTTAAGGAGAGAAGTCCCCCCCGGTGGCAGACCTAACACCCTTCAAAATTGACATTTGAGCCACGTTTTCACCGACCTAGAGCACACTGAAAGACACGACTGCGTGGAAGAAAGCGACAGAAGGACAACAGGCAGCCACACACGACATGGATGAGCCACGTCATCTCCTAATGCGCAAGCGACCACAGACAGGCCCCAAAAGATTGAGCCAAAAAAGCTGCAAGAAATCTAAATGAAGGCCAAAAAATCGAAGTCGTGCATGCCTCAGCAAGGTCTCGTTGACTGAGCATAGTCCGCAAGACATGATGCACTGTTGCAAGAAAGTCCTGGCAGTTGTACATCTACCCTCCAAGACTCCGTGAGACAGGCTATGCACTGCTAGTCCTTCTCGCCACGAGCCTCAGCCGGAAATCCAAGCCAAGTTTGTTTGTCCCTTCAAGCACCCGAACATGAGACTGGTCGAAATCATTTCAGGAGTGCTGAGGATGGTGCAGTTTGCTTCAAGTACTGGGAAGTCAACCTGAGCCAGAAGGCATAACAGAGGCAGTGCCAACAGTATGTCCACGACGATGCTGGGCGGTCTACTGGAGAAGCGAATCGCCGTAGCAGCTCACCATCCTGGCATTTCACGGCAGAAGCTCAAAAGAGTCACGGACAGCTTAGCTCGTCTTACATGCCACAATTTGCCAAATTTCCCATTTCAGTCTTGATTGACACTAGAAGCCCCGAAACAGTAAATCCGAACGTCGACATGGTAAGATTCGTAAAAAGCAGGACAACACAGGCCAAAGCTGCACAGACACTGCTGGGGCATGCGAGCTCGGGCGCTGAGACATCCTGTAAGCTCCCATGGGATGTAGGATACAGCACCGAAGCTGCATGAACTCAGAAGACATATTCTTTGGATTATGTCGTGCTCTGGTAAAGTCAAATGGAAGCTTGCTTCCTTTTTGGATTGCACAGAGGCTCGAATTTTAGTTTTCATTGCGATGATTGATTGCGCAGCTTCCGTTTCCTGTGACCAGCCGGCTGCCACAGCAAATTGTCCAAAATCGGACAAGTCGTGCTGGTGCCAGGAACACGCGAGCAGGATCCTCTGAAAGTGGACATTTTGCAGGCCCTGGTATAATCTCGGCATAAGCCAACATTGAAGTATTCCAAACGCTGCTCACTGCTAGCTGCCTCAGGAACCTATTCGAAAATCTAGCTCTGGATCTTGCCTGCCCTTGCTTCCAAGCTACGGCGTTTATCTAAATCTTACAAGAACACATCAAGCAATTGACACGCATCCAGGCTTCATGGTTGCTCACTAACATTGGCTTCCGTGTCAAGGTACTGCTGCCAACGGCACAGTCCAACTTGACTGCCATTTGACTCAGAGTACTGTTATACTCTTTGCTTCGAAGTTACTTACTGGTCTTGTCCAGGCATCTTGTTGGGTACGTTGACATCGTTCATTCGCGGGCGCATGGTCCACCAACCTTGAGATGTGCTGCCTGACACATCCTGACGCAAGAACGCTGCCCAAGTATACCAAGCTTAACTTTGCTCCTTGAATACAAAAGAAAGGATGCCATTCCAGCACTGCAAATAGTGTGCAGGGTAAGACCAGCAACTAAAGAGAAACATGGTCTCGGTGGTCTTCCAAAGGCATGAAGGTCCAGTGGGGTCCATGTTGCCAACAGAACTCCTCCCACTTCAGACCGTACCAGGACAATGCATGGATTTTCTGTTTCTCAGCTGGGCCAGCATGATGTTTTGGATACCCGACCTCTGATCATGCAACTTGCTTGATGACTTGATGGCTGTCATGGTGGTGTTGGGATTGTTTGTTGCAATTTGGCACACTGCATGTCTATCAGCTTGCTTTTTGATTGCGCAGAGAAACACTTATGACTGCAGCAATGAACTTAGGTCTGTACAGGGCAGCCATGTCCGCCAGTGCTGACCTGAGGCAGTGCCGAGTTGCAACTCATCTCTGTGAATACCGGTCAATACAGACAAGCTTGGGCAGGGGCGAGTTGATTAGCCATTCAGCACAGGCCTTGCGCAGATGCGTCCCGGACAGGGCAGCGCACACCTGGACAAAGCCCAAAAGTAGTCTGGGAGAGCTTGATAATCCAGATGTGGGGCTCATGCCCCTGCCAAAATCACACATGCAGATTCGCCAGCATCACTCTGTGCTTGAAGTCCATGGCCTGTGCACAGCATCCTGTAAACGTCAGGTTCGCCGGGCGATTGCTGAGACCATGACCCAAAACCGTGAGCGTGAACGGAATGTGTTCCTGAACAAGCAAGGAAGATGGCTTCTGGCCATATGCTGCCGAGAAATCATCGGGGCTCGAACCGGCCGCAAGAGCAACAGCTCTGCCTTAGTCCAGAAGCATCCGGCCATTGTGACACTGCAAGAGGCTCTTCAGGTCCCAGGCAACTGCCCCTCCGTAGTGGGTGAGTGATCCCAGCCTTGTTCTTGCTTTGCAGGACATCTGCTTACCTTGCCTTTAGAACTTCTCCAAACCTAGATGCCATCTGCTCAGGTGGGCAGAATTGCGCTCCACATCGGAGAATGCTCGCCTTTACATCCAGATGTTAAGCAGCTACCTCTTACAGCACCATAGAAAGCTTGCCCAGGTGAAAGTAAACATCCTCTCAGCCCAGGGCAGTAGCCGTCGCCCGTTATCCGAAAGTAGCTCTTGTGCCTGCTGCTGTCGACAGCCATGTGATTTCTCTTCCATGTCCTGTTGGCAAGCTTGGGGAGTTGAACCTGGCTTGCCGTGATGCGGAGCTGTTGAATCATGGACAGGCCTGCTGCCCAGCTGCGATGGTGGAAACGTCACCGGTTTGAACATACATGTCCACGACCTATGTACCTTCTGAGAAATATCTCTCCGGGGCCGCTGCCCAGAAGTTCTGGCGCAGATGTGGCCATTGAGAAATCACGATCCTTTGGAGGAGACTTTGCTATCAAACAGCAAAGAAGGGCCATCATCCCGTGACTCAGGTAAACGCCGCGGACAAGTTGCTCAAAGCATCCCATGCCCTCGGCAAATGAGTTCTTGGTTTGTCGGGCCGTGTAGGTCGCGGGCAAGTGCCATTAACGCTAACGACACGGGCTGAATCAGAACACCAAGACGTCGCAACAATCTGCAGAGCTTTTTTCAACACCCTGTCTTCCTGTATCTAGCCGACAAATGGCAAAGTGCATCATTGGATCCTGGCTCTCGCTTAACCTCCCGCACAGGAACCTCACCATGCAACATGTTTACGCATCTTCAGGTTGCTTTGCCCTTGCATCCCCCAGCCTCATGTCGGTTGTCCTCTTCAAATTCCCTTAACAACAAACAAGTCACTTGCCGGGCGTCCGAAGCTGTTTAAGAGGCACTGCGGCAACAGTCAGCTGAGGCCTGTGCCTTGTGGGTCGATGCTTTGTGACTTCATCTACATGGTGCCTAGATGTCATCTGCCATTGCAAAAGCAGTTTTGGGAGCTCCCTTGCGCCTGGCAACATCTTGGAAGCCATCCGCCACTGCACCGGGCAAGGACGCTTCATGCATCTCTGGAACCTCTAACCATGCCCGACATCAAGAGAGTTGTTTCGTGCCCAGTTGAAATTAGACCTCCAAAGGATGGCCAGCATGGCCAGGATGACCACGCCGCATCTCTAGATGCTGATGCCTGACTCACTGACAATGAAACTGATCCACTGTCTTCTGTGAGTACTTAGCTTCCAGCCTGGCTAGGTCTCTGTTCCCGGCATTGTGCTCAAAGCCGTCCTGTGGTCTGCAGCCAGAGCCATCTGAACGCACTGATAACTTCTGCATACTTCTGCAGTCCTGCACATGCTTCTCGTGTGCCTCTACCTGCATCTTGTCCAGCCACAAAGAGAAAAGAAAACAAGACTGTTTGTAAGCTCCAGTCGTGCCCAGCTCCAGCAACCCGCGCCTCGCTTCCCAATGTTAGCATCAGGCTTAGGGCATTTTGCCAACAGGACTTCCATTGAGTCTGCCACGTAGCCGTGTGCCTGCCCTTGCTGTGGCTGGACCTTGGATCAAGGAGCGAAAGACAGGCTTTGATGCTTTGTAAGACGGATGCTTTCTTGGACCCACACGCGTCTGCCCCTGACCCGCTTGTGTCGCTTTGCCTGAGTAATCTTGGTGCTTCGTTGTCAGGCTGGATTGCACTACCAGAACCTCCTGAGCGGCCCAGTGTTGGTAGACGACATGAAGTTCCTGTCTTGAGAGTTCAGCTTTCTTCTCAACAGGCTATCTTTCATTGTCCTGCAGCAGCTCCATGACAATAGCCTCAAAAAGGTCTGCCACGCAAGGATGAGCATTATACGATGCCTTGGGCCTGGTCACCTCCCGCCAGCGTGGCCTCAAAGCTGGGCACAAGCACAAATATCCGGACTCTGTTGGTAGGGTTGGTAGGATGCCCGCCACTGCAACATCATCCAGTTCCACAGATAGTCGGTGCAAACCTTTGGCAACCTTGCGGGGTCATCTGGCTCATTGCAAACAAATACTAGGCCAAGGACCCAGCCAGAAGCCTAGAGCTACGAGCAAACAAGGCAATGCATTTGGGTTTTCTTCGCAGAGGCTTGAGATACATTTTGAGTATTGAGAATCAACCCAAAATGAAATGAGGAAGCGATGGACAAGCAACCCTTCACACCGACAAACCGCAGAACCGCAAGGGGGTTAAGACCCTATCATCGGGCTGAACACCATGCAAACAATTCACCTGTGTCCAGGTTTGTTGTGGCTGTCCAGCGTGCGCGGTCAACTTTTGCTTGACCTGGATGGCGAGCTCTTGAAGTCGCAGCACATCAGTTTATGTTTGAATCACGATGGATGACAAACACATGTACGAAACTCGGCTGGAAACGGCAGCTTAGATGTGGAACTGACATGCGTACCAGGCATATGTTATTGGCCGCAAAAGCCCTGGCCGGTAAGGACCTCCCTGGTTTTGACTTCTCACACTTGGGCCACGAGCTAGGTGGTCACATGATGACAGGTTATGGTTCCCCCTTCGGCCTCAAATTACAGCCATGAATAAACAACAGTCACAAATGATTTTCGACCCAGATTTCCAGAGCCTTTGGTGAAAACTGAGCGCTGCACGGCGTGTTTTTCAAACACTGAATTCAGCAACTCCACGAAGGCCTCCCAAACTTTGATCTCGTGTGCCAATGGTGTGCCTTATAGCATTGCATCTGAGACCAGCCTCTCCGGACACCAGGTTCGCCTGCGAGTGCACTTGAAACCCAAAAAAAAACTCTGGGCTCCTCCAATTTCTGCAGGCCACCACCAAGCGGCCAGGAAGTACATGAGCTTTGCCATTTTGGCCTAACCAGCGACGTTGGCATCAGCAGGTAGCTATCCAGCAAAAAGACAGTTTCAAGCAAATGCTGCCGAAAAGCTGGGGCCATGTTTCCCTTTAACTAATCCCAGCTCCACCAGCCAGGAGTAAAGCTCAGCACCCACCTGAACATCAAGCGTCGGTGCCAGAACTCATGCGACATCAGCAAATCATGTCATTGGATCAGGATAACCTCTGGAGGTGGCACAGGTGGCTGCATCCTAAGATTCAAACTGCCGGCACATTCCTCATTCATGTTCTCAGTAAGAGTCCTGAACTTCGATGTGTCAGCACCCACGCATCCGCGCCTTGAATTTCAAGCAGACATGACCCAAAAATTTGTGAAACGCGTGCGATTGACAAGCCATGTGAAGCGATTGCCTGCATGACGGCTGCTCTGCATTTCATGCGCATGTGGACTACGCAGCAAAGTATCTTGTAGCAAGTCCACTGTTCTCAAAAGGTCCTAGGGATGCAGCTCGGTGCAAAAAAAGTTTGCATACCTTTTTGAAGACGCATCCACAAAGATGCTGGACGTGTTTCAACTTCGAATGTCAACGAAATACCTGCAACGTTGCAATTGTTACAAACAAATTCATTGCTAGTTCCAAGCAAAATGCACAACTTTAAAACATTTTTGCTAACAGACTGGCTTTCGTGACAAGCCTTGAGGGCGCGCAAGTTTGCACGCGTAAAGCAGCTACCGTGCCGTGGAACAGCATTTTTCTGCAACGTTTTGCAACACATATCCTTCGCAATCTTGTACAGCAAACTTTCATCAGTTCCTTAGTGTTTGTTTTTGTTTTCTATGTTTTGGCTGCTGGAAATTATATACATGCAGAAACGAGATCAGAAAACTGTCGATATACGTTGCCTCCATTGCGGGAAGCCCTTCTCCGCAACAACAAACTTCAAGATTCAACAGCTGAATATGCAAAATAGCAAAATAAAGGACGACATGGACACAACGGATCGAATTATGGCTGCAAATGATGGAAAGCCCAGGTCGCAACCACCAATTCAGAACTGAACAAACATATTATTGATTGATTTTGTTCGGCGAATATGATTGCACCATTTGCGAAGAAATAAACAGCTAAGACACACAAGCGAAAAAACCGGAAACCGTATTTCATGCCATCCCTCATGGTATTGCTCAACCATGTGCAACTTTCAAGTAACGCTTGATATGGATGTGCATAACGGCTAATGATTTTAAACAGGTACTTCAGCGACCTCAACCAACCACAGCACGAACATGCAACTTTACATGTGTCCAGCAGCACCGCCAAACTAGTTTCAAGTCACGATTGTTGCTCGAAAGGTTTGAATGGTTGCCGCGCCTTGAAACTGAATTTTGTTGTTCCACTTTACCCAAAACAAAACATTGATTCCAATGTCAAGATAAAATATGTACCAAAAATGGGTCTCGGGGAAAAACACCCGCCCGACGTTTTTGTTGACGTATTTTCTGAACATGCCCAACAGAGCCTGACAAGTACATCACATCATGAGTGAAGCATTACGTTGATAACATGTAGGCCAACCCCCAGAAAAAAAGATTGAAAAACATAAAAGAAAATTATTTACTTCGAGCATCCCTACCCTAAAGCCGATCTTGCACAAAAAATGTAATGTTTCCCGAGGATTGTGGGCCAAGACATTACCCTTCTGTGCGCGCATAGCAGTCAGGCGTTATGATTGCCCGAGATCAGCCAAAGTTAGCATACGCTGCTGTCAATCAGAAAACCGCTGCGCGCAACTGGCACTTCGTGAGCAAACCAAAGGAATAAGCAGAGAAATATATGATAACATGTTGTGTTGGAGGCTGAGGATTTTTCGGCTGGCACCTTTTCACAACAAATTTTGGGGAGACCTTTGCATAATTTGCGCAGCTTGTTTCTTGAAATGGTGGCAGCTGAGTTAGGGGAGCAGTATAACCATCTCTTTTTCCAAGGGTGTCGGGGCAAAAACCGGATGATTTTGTGGGGTCTTCTCCTTGCGGTCCACCATCTGAACGGATGGCTGACCTTTTCCTTGGCAGAGACCGTAAGGCTCTGCCCTTGCTTTTTGCCTACCGGCCATCGGAATTGATGCATCAATAAGGCTTTCCGGGGAAAAAAAAATGGACAACCCGCAGAAGAAGAAGGTCTTCTAGTTCCATTACCACGTACTCGATGCTCAACCAGAACACGGAAGCTTCACACCGCCCTGGTCCTTATGGAGATGCTCCTCAAGATCCACGGTGCGGGCCTGCAGCTGGCTCCGTCTCATGTGAGTAGGTGGGCTGATGAACTTACCCACCCTAATTTTGCAGGTTTTTGCAAAGTAGAAGAAAGTGTCTGTCGAATCATGCTTCCTCATTTTCCCTTTTGAATACTGTTCTATATGGTCCCACTCCCGCTCATCTAACCCTTTGCCCCATCCTAAGGCCCGTACAGGGTGCTGGATGGGCAGGTGTGGTAAAGTTTACTAGTGGGTCTCCATTTCTTCCTTCACCAACCTTTAAATTGGAAGAGATGAAAC